CAGGGTTTTTTATTCAGAAGGCCACATCCTTCTCCAAGGTTTCTTCCTTAAACCCTTCGAGTTCTGCCAAAACTCCAAGTTTCAAAACACACATTTCCTACTCTCTCAACATGTTCTCGAAGAAAAGGACGTCTGTGCATGTTTAATTTAGTTTGTTTAACAATGTGTGTGCTATATTGTATTGGCTTTGAGATTAGGTTTAAAACATATTTGACCACTTTTTGTACTGAAATGTTGCTTTTACCCCGTCAATGAAGCACTAATTCCTCATTCTGTCTCTCCTCCTCTACCTCGGCTCTCTTTTTCTGTCCCTCACAGTAGGTTTGGTACTAAGTGTGCCCGCTGTGGGAGGCAGATATTCGCCAGCGACTGGGTGCGCCGTGCAAGAGGGAATGCATACCACTTGGCATGTTTTGCGTGCTTCTCGTGTAAAAGGCAGTTGTCTACGGGAGAGGAGTTTGGCTTGGTGGAAGATAAGGTCCTGTGTAGGAGCCACTACGATACCATGGTGGAGAACCTCAAACGAGCGGCTGAGAGTGGTGAGTCAAATACTTCTCTGTGGCTGCCCAGATTTTTGCTCCAGAGTCCCAAAACTGAGTTCTGCTGAATTTATCAGCAAAAATAATGACTGTATGATTCACCTTTGTACAATTTATTATTTCTTAAATCATTGATGATTTAATGTGTCTGGCCTGCTTCTTACTCATTTCTCAGTGGTCGTGTTACAAGAGCTCAAAAACCTCAATTTTGGCTCCCAACTGAGGAAAAAGTCCAAATATGATTTAGTGTCCAAGTCCTCTTGTTCAAATGGGCCTCCTGGGACAATCATGGTCATTTTAAAATGTTATTCAACACTTTTGACTGTCATGTCATATTTCTGTTATTGTGTTTTTCAGGCAATGGTATCACATTAGAAGGAGCAGTTCCAACAGAACAAGACAGTCAGCCCAAACCGGCCAAAAGGGCACGGACATCGTTCACTGCAGAACAGCTACAGGTCAGACACACACTTATTTTGTGAATATGCTGCACTCTCGGCTTTAGTTTACCAAAAATATAATGTGTAATGATTGGATTTCAGCAGCCTTTTCTTAATTTCATGTTACATGTTTGCCCCCATATGTAGATAATGCAGGCTCAGTTTGCCCAGGACAACAATCCAGACGCCCAGACGCTACAGAAACTAGCCGACATGACAGGCCTCAGCAGGAGAGTGATACAGGTCAGTTCACAGAAAAACACTTTCTCTATTATTAATGAATCTATGTATTCTATGGCACATAGTGATATAGCATACTTTTGAAACATTCAAACACATATACTTAATTTACAGAAAAACATAGTAAAAGGTCAAATGATGTTTAATTATGTTCAGGTATGCATATTCATACTGATTTAGGTATTTTCAATGTTTTGTCTGCTTTTGAAATAAATCAACATGTTTGATATTAAGAATATAGCATTATGATGTCTGGTTACATTGCGTCTTCATAGGTGTGGTTTCAAAACTGCAGAGCAAGACACAAAAAGCACACGCCCCAACACAGTGGGGTTCCCCAAGGTCACCTCCAGTCCAGGATACCCTCGTCCCTGCCCGATGAGCTGCATTACTCCCCCTTCGGCAGTCCTGAGCGGGCGCGCATGGTGGCCCTTCACGGGTATATCGACAGTGAGTCACAGTTTACTTCAATGTAATAATTATGCAAATACACGTTTTAGCCTTTTTTTATATTTTCACCTAAATCCTTATTTCTTTTGTGTGCTCTTCAGGTCATCCCTTCTCAATGCTGACTTCTCAAGGTCTCCCTCATCAGGCCATGTCGCTGCCCCAGCTCCCCCTCAGCCGCTAGCGCTCCACCACTATGACCCTTTTGACCCCTAAACCTCCGGATCTGAACCCTTAATCTCCCATCACTGATCACGTCTGTAGACCTGACCGGGGGTCATGCAGTCATCAGTTTGGAGAAAAGACTTATCTGACAGGAGCCCTGCCCACTCGGACATATGGAAAGAAAAGGAAGAACGAGGAAAAACTCAAGATACGTTTTTTATTTCTGAGGACAGGAATATCCCAACTGCAGCCACTCTCAGCCTCAGAAGCATTTATCATTAGCAGGAACTCAGTGACGGTATGTTACACCACCTTAAGGACCCATTTCGCTTCAAATGTACAGCATCCTCCACTCTACCCACCCATCCTTTTTTTAAAAGGGATGAAACTGAAAGAGGAGTGAAGCTTTTTGAGCGCTGTCAGAGTACTGAAGATAAACAAAGAGAGGGAACTTGAGGGGAACTGTCTTTGTGGCCTAAAGGCCCGACACACTCAGTAGACCACACTAGAGGTAAGACTGCTCTTTTCTCTCGAAGCAAACATGAAGGAAACCTAAATGTAAAGAAATAAATATGACTGTTGAAATATTTTCTTTAGTAAGGGACCTTATGACATCTCAAAAATACTCCCTATGTTACATTTTTGGTCGATTTTCCAATGAAATTAAGTTAATCTTTGAATTGTGTGCCTTATCTTTTCCATAATTTAAAGAAATTCTGCAGCATTGAACCAGCTAATTAAATCTGCCTCTAATTCATCTCTACGTTTTAATTACGTAGAACAAATTAAGAAGATTTAAAGTCTTCTACTGGTGGAAAATGTGCATCTTGAATGTGTCGATTTGGAAGTAAACCACAAAGCACACTTTCTGGGCTTGTGTGTTTTTAAATTATGGCTGTGGCATTAGAAGCTAACATAATTTGGGCCACAATAATCCTGCTAAATTTCTTTAAACTGAAAGGGAAACAAATGGAAGACTGAGATGAGCTACACATTGCTACAAATTCTGTTACAAGTTACATATTTTCATATTTCCAAACATGTGTATTGTCACTAATTTATATGTTCTCTGTCTGTGTGTCTTTGGCACAAAGAGGGAAGTGTTGGTGTTTTGGTACAATATGGAAAATATGAAGAAGACTGGGGTTGTACATACGTGTGTGTGTGTGTGCGTGTGTGTGTGTGTGTGTGTGTGTGTGTGTGTGCGTGCGTGCGTGCGTGCGTGTGTGTTGGCAGGGGTAAAGAGTGTGCATCTGTATTTAGTGCCATGGCCATTGTGTGAAGAACAGGATCCAACAAGACCTCAATGTCCTTGTATTTATTGAGATGGTAAATCCCTGTAAAGCACTTTTCCCTCTGAAATTATTTGGTTTTTGTTAAAAAACAAGAAATGAAATCAAACAAAAAGTTTATTTGATAGACTGTGCATCATTAATGTTTTGTGTACTTAAATGCAATAAAATAGAATGTGATATTTTCTTTGTGGATTTGGATCATTTGTAAGGGTAAATTAACCAGGCAATAATTCACTTTTATTTTCCAAAACAACACGTGTGGCACAAAGCAAAGGACATGTGAAACAACACTTTTTCTATGTTCTTTATGCAGGATGTTTATCCATTGGGGTGTGTATTTGCTTGAATTGTGTGGATAGTTGTTTACATCCCAGTGTGTGTGGTATTTGTAGCTTCAACGAAGCAAGAATGGTGCATTGTGGGAAATATTATATTTGTGCAAAGCACTGCTGCCCTTAGAAGACTTGATGTTTAATTATTTTTTATTTGTTGAGGCTTTTTCAACTTTCCTTTGTGGAGGATGTATGGCCTTCATAGCCCATCTGCATATAAGCTAAATGACGTCTGTAAATGTTATCTGCACATTAGCAATACACATAGGAATAGGTTGATTTGGTTCTATTGGTCTGCTAATCTATCCTTTTATTTTTTAAATCACACACAAAATCGAATTAAACATAAGAAAATAGAAATAACAAAAAAACGCTTTATTTGTCAGAGTTATATTACAAGACACAAAAAACATCTGATGTTCTAAAAATGGACTACAAAAGTCTCCGGTCTCTTCAGAAAGCGACAGAGTTTTCAGGATCAACACCGGCAGCCTCATCCCAAGCTTTCCGACAAGTCCGCAGAATCCACTCATCCTCGCAGTCATCTGTTTGAAAGATTTAATTTCAAATGGAGGATTATGTAAAACTATTGGAAACAAGGCCTGGAGTCATACCAGCTTAATTGTTTTTTTTAAAACGTTTGACCTGCGATTACATAAGAAACAAACGCAGATTGAGGTGTAAAGGTAAAGCGTTTAAATCAACTATAGAAGCAGTTGCCTGCATAATTAAACCACAGGTCATTTTGTGTATGAGGCTGCGACAGTGAAGTGCCATTCAAGTCTCGGGTAAACCAAGATAAGCCTGACAATTAGGAGCAAATAACTTCTCAGAGCCACTTCAGACACCGATAAATAATAACCTCCAAAAATGGACGACGATTTTTCTTTTTTAAACCGAAACGACTGCCAGAGGAGCTGATAATAAAGCAGTTTTGCATTGTCAAAACTGAAATGAGAAGCTAATTGCGGGGGAAGTGAGCTTTTCTCAGGAGCGCATGCAGCTGCACGCACTTGAGCAGCGCGCGGGCCTCACCCCCAGGTTCCACTGAGCGCGAGGCTCCATTGTACAGGGGAGGAGGTCTGCAGCTCGCGGACTGATTGTGCGTAATTGCCAGTCGTCAACACCAGCAGCCACTTCAAGTATGAAACGCTCCTCTTTCTCTCTTTCTCCTCTCTACCTGTTCTGATCGCGAGGTCAATTGAACGTATCGGACACGCGGACAGCTGCCACGCAAACAGTCTTTGTGGCGCATTCGTGAGCGGAGAAGGTAATTATTGAACACGTCGTTACGTTTAGACTGACCTCAATTAGACCCAAACCACAACCTGCCTTAATGATAATTTCATTGGGACATTTTCATATTTGCTGTAATTCTGCCCTCTTGAGATTGTATAGCAGCGTTTATCTCAGGATTTAAGTCAAATGTAATTGGTAACTTGGGTTATATAAGGGCACAGGTGGCTGGTAATTCCCTGCAATCTGAGGACAGCCGGACATTTTTGTGATTTACCAGTCTTTGTAAGTCAATACATCAATTTATAAACCTTTTTAATGACCCTTTACAACATTTCTGGTGTTGGGATATCCAGTTAGACTGATACAACAGAAATAAAGACACCTTATGTTCTCTGATGTAGCCTAATAATCACATTTGTGGTGCAAACTTCAGGGAAACATTTTAGTCTTTAGGGAATGAAGCTCACTAAACGCACTTGTTTATTGAACAGTTTTTTTTATATCCATCTTGACTGTATCCACCTGCATAGACAACCTTTTTGCGATGTACAGGAGAGAGAGAGTGTGCGGAAGCAATAATGGCACCTTGTTAAAGTCTGTTTATCTTAATCCTTAAAATACACTCAGAGGGGAAAGTGTTTCCTTCCAGCCTAATGGTTCCGAATTAACACGCAGACACACAACCAAACACATGCAGAGACAGACACACTGGCATAATGAGCAAAAGCAAAAAACTGCTTTCTGCGTAGATAGTTAATTTCATTAAAGATGATTGTGTTGCATTAAGTGTTCACAGAAACGGATGGGGTATAACACTGATGTTGAACTCTGAACCTGGTCCACTCACAATGACCTATGGTCATATGTGCACATTTTGTGGTTTCCAATTGGAGGCACCACAGTAAAATCAAACTTACCTAAATGTGAAAGCTCAAATAAACATTCAAATGCACACATTTAAGGCATCTGTCTCCAATTCACTGCAAGCCGAGCGGCCTTTTCTTTTTTTGGGTTATGATGACATCACAGAAAACTGCGGTTTTCATGTTTCCAGCTTTGAAGGAGAGATACCAATCTTTAAAATTATTAATCCATCCGTCACAGTTTGGAGGATTAACATGTGAATCCTATTTTATGGTGAATTTTTGTCCCTATAGATGTATGAAAAATTAGAGTTTCAGGAAAGGCAGCGTGTGGATATGTTCCACTCCCAAGGGCCCCAGCTGATCTTATCTGTCTGTGAAACACCTCGGCTGGACGGGGACAAAGGGAGGGGCCGCGGCTCGGTCACCAGAGGTGTTTTCCTTGGCAGTGGAATGTTTTCAGTATGGAACTCTTTCAGTGCGGAGTCTCAAAGGGAAGCGGTTATCCCAGAAACAGGAAAGTGCTACAAACAATATGGCAACACATGGCCCCTGCTGGAGCTGCTGCCGCCTCCTGCGCCCGGCCGACTGTTGCTGCCTGTTGCCATGAGAGAACACACACAACTGACGGTGTGTGTGTTTGTTTGGAATAACACGCTTAATCAGTCAGTGGTGGAGATTTGATTGTGCAGATGTGGCCTATGTATCCTTCTCATTATTTTTTAATTACAGTTTCATTGAGTAATGCAATGTTCTACCTTGTAACAATATTAATCAGAAATGAAGTACAATTATTTTTGTCCTTTTTGTGAGGACATGATAAAAGCAGCCCTGTAGACTTGTTTGTTGATTACATGATTTGTTTTTTTTTAGCAGCAAAAAGGTTTGGCTTTCTTTGAAGCTATAATGTACTTCCATAATCCTTCCTATTCAGTGTTTGTCTCTTGAATGTTTGTTAAAGGTTTAACAGTATTCATGTTACTGTGCTTTACCCTGTTGGCATTATTCAAGCTGAAATGTTAACTATGTAGCAAGTGGAGTCATATTAAAAAATTTGAAATAAATACAATTATGATTCTAATCAATCAATCAATTTCATTAGTTGCTTAACATGGAGTGTTTTGTGTTTTTAAATGTAGGGATTAGCTGCCACCTCATCCACTATGCTAGTCCATTGACATGTTTTCTTGTGTAAGACTGAGTAACTAATTGGTGATTTGTCAAAGTCGATATTGGACGCCCTTAAAGTTTGGAAATAACATTGCCCAGAAACAACGAATATCAGCCCTAAATGTTAATTTTTTAACCACAATCACTCAACAGCACACACACAAACATAGTACACATTGCTGCACAGTCACACACACTCAGACATTCCTTCCTTTCCGTCTCTTGTGTATTGCAGGAGTTGACTTTGTATCCAAATGACACGTGTGACTCCTTGCTGTTACTTAAAATCTACGAGGAACAGGAGTCTGTTAAAATGTTTTTCATTAGGTTAAGATGAAATCATGGGGGCGAAACCATCATGTGCATCCCATCCCTTTCCCCCATCATCCTACATGTTTACAAGGCGTACCAGTATTCTCGATACAAACCCTTCCTACATAGCATAGCAGTCCCTTGATGACATCTCCCAAAATAATCCATAACCTCTTGGGGAATATTAGCAAAAGATCCTATTGTTTTGCTCTGGCACTATGCCAAGAAGGACTGTTTGTCCAAGTTAGCAACAGTAACTAAGCAGGCCAGGACTTTTTGATACATCAGTTTTGACCAATGAGTTTGGTTGAGCCTGATATCTCCTTGCAAGGACTTTAAGATCAGGGGGGTAAACTCGATTCATCTGCAGTTTCAACCCGTTCCATATGCACCATTTTTGCAACTCTAGATATGATCTTCGTCTTCACGGGCTAATTTCTTCCTTGTCCTACATCCACCAGCTGCTACACGGGGAGCTCCTTCCTCTTTCCTTGCTGCAGCAAACGTCCCCTTTGGGAGGGTGGGTGTTCCCTGTGTCCCATCATCCCTGTAGCCATCATCCTGGGCGGAAGCCACGAGGCCATAAATTCTGTCTTCACACCCACTGTGACAAATGTGCTTTCACCTCAAGGGTTGAAAAATGAATCCGTACAGGACACAGGAGCATTGTTTTCAAGCCTTGTTTACAAAGCAAAGGGATAGCGGACATGTATTGCATAAGCCACATTCTCAGTATAAAATATACATCACTATATAGTATTGCACATGAACAGACACACTTCTATTAAAGTTCCCATCAGTGTAAGTGCTATATGAATGCTTTAAAACAGGGGTGTCCAAACTTTTTTCACGAGGGCCACATACAGAAAAATATACGAAGAGCTGGGCGGCTCACCAGAGGTATATTGCCTCATAAATTAGAAAAAATCTATCAAATTTAGGTAAATGATGGTTGATATTGATGAAAAAAACACAAAGCTCTATATAGGGTTTCATTTATTTTGTTATCAGCTCATTCCTTAAAACAGGAGTCTCAGATTGCTTATAATAAGAGGAAATATGAAGGGTATATTCAAGGTGGTTATGTAAATGTGTTATTGGTCTTTTCTCTTATCAACTAAGATTTGTTAGAAAATGTTTTTCAACTTTAATTGACTGAATTTATTTGAAAATTGGGCTTATGAACACATGAATACTATGTTATATATTTGAACATATATATAAGAAGTACAATAGCAGATGTTTAATTTGTGGGCCATATTTCATTACACTTTTTGAATTTGGCCGATTCCAAACGCGGGCCACATTTGGCCCCCGGGCCGTAGTTTGGACACCCCTGCTTTAAACGTATCAAAACGCTTAATCTGTGGGGAAATGCACACAGTGGCTTAAGCAAGCCGTCAGGATTTCCTAAAGATATAAAATAAATAGGTAGAATGTGCTGCTATAGTGCCATTATAGTCATTCCCCGGCTGCAATGACACGTGCACTTACGGAAATCCCCAAAACACTGACCAATAGAAGCAGAGTGTTTCAAAGACTGAGAAAATCTAGGTATATTTAGACTTATTGTAGGAGAATTTTTTTTTTCATTTTTGAACATTAAAAAATGTGAAAATGTTCTCGCAGAAACCTAAAGCACAGGGATAAATCTGATCGATTGTACAATACGTCTCCTTTAAATAGTTTGTTTGATTGCAGATGTATTTAAATCAAAACAGAGTAAGAGAATGGTTGGAAAGTGTTCAGTTCCTTTTTCTTTCTTCATCTCAACTTCCAGAACATATCTTTTATCTTGTTTTCTTTCTCTCTCTTTCTCCGTCACTCCACTGATCAATACCAGAGCTATAATGATGATGAACAACCCCCATCAAGGAAAGAATTGAAAAACATATTTTTGTCTTCTTACACACGCTGAGGACATCTGGTAAGGATGTGGATCTAATCCTCTGTTTCCTTCTGTCTCTCCACATATGTAAATTAGATTTGTGTGCTTGTGGAACTAATCTGTATTATGTTGCAAATAGAACATCTGAACACAAATATTCTGCCCAAAAAAAAAATACCTTAGGCAGCGTAGTGAGTCATACATTAACTAATGCCAGAAATCATATTTCTTACACATTTCTACATTTTTAAGGTTAAAAACAGTCACAAGCATCATATTTGGATCAAAATATGGTCTGGTTTGAATTCCTCCTGCATTTTCTGCAATCAAAAGCAACAATTCCCACAGCCTTGTACACCATCACCATAGATTAAGCTTTGATTAAAGCTTTTTTAAGCTACTATACAATATGTTAAATAATGTCAAGCCCCTTTGATGCGCAGGAAACACTGGACCAAACATTAGTGAGCCCATAGTATTTAGAAACTGCATTCACAGCCTGCTGCCTAATTCACAACAGTGTCTTGTGATGCAAAATCTTAGGCGACATGACGAGCAGAGGATGTCAGAGGATTCCTATCTGGACACCTGACAGACCACATTCACTTCAAATCAGGAGTTCCAAAACTGGGCACCCACTCAGGGGAAAAATGTGTCTTGAATTTTCCACTTTTGACAAATACCAAAAGGAAAAAAAAAGTTTTGAATTGACGGCAATAGCCTATAGAAGCATGCTTATCAGATGACTTGTAGCAATAATCTTCCATCAGAGAGTCCAGGGATAATCCATTTAACATAACTCCATTGGTTCATTGGTATAAAATCCTTCCCATATGGCCACACTGTGTGCTCTCAGAGAGGCAAAGACAAAGGGTCCTCCCCGAGGCAAATTCAACACAAGCTCTTTAGTGTGTTTGAAAATACTTTGAACCAACTCTACTTTTCTGGCCTGTTTTCAGAAAAGTAGAGTTGTTGAAAAGGAGACATAATGTTATACACAGCTACTATTCTGCCCGACAGAAGGCAGCAACAATTGCTGCCTCAGTATTTATTTAGCTGATTATATGGCTATAAACTCAGAAGTGTATTGAGGTATAGGCCTGATGTTGCATTTCTGTTTACTTATATCAAACAATGATTGGAACATTTACATGAGGAGTCTATAATACTTTGTTCAGGTGTCTGATGATGATGATGAATGTTCAAATAAACAACCGAACAAAAGCTGAAATAGACATTAACCTTGTCAACTCTGTCCTTGCTCTGTTTCCCTGTTCTTGTTTGCGTGGATTGTGGTTCTTTATTATAGTTTTTTTAGAAGCAAAGAGTTGATTATATAATTTGAAGTAAGGGTTTACATGAAGACTGAAAATGCATCTTCAGGCTATCATCTTTCATTTCACCGGGCTACAACATTAAAAATAACAGGATATTCTCTCTCTCACCTGCATTTCTGAGGAATCTGCCACTGTAGGAAGTAACAACTCTGGCCTTGGGATCATAGGAACCATCTCCACAATCATAGCATCCATCAGGAATAATGTGTGGTGGATGAAGATCACTTAGCTGAGATTCTCCTGTACGAACAAGTCAGTTGTTTTGTGTTGAATGGTTATGTGGTTTACAACTACTAAAACAACTACTAAAACAACTTGTTTTTATTTTCTTAATCTATCTAATGGATTTCACCTTATGTTGTTATTATTGGTCTGATTGTTTGTCAGGTTAATGGCTTTGGGTGACTTTTTTTTACTCAAACACGTTCTTCCTCTCAATGTATTTACATTAGTTTATTATGAGGCAAAGTTCCTTATATTTTCCGAGCCAAATCATGTGAGGGTGTTTGTCTGATGCGATTAATGAGAAATAATCTGTCCCATTGAGAACACAATAATAAATTCCAACCTGCAGGTCTGAGTCCATTGCACCTCTCACTGTAGAAGCGCCTGTCGTAACCATCGCAGTAGTCCCAGTCTTTCTCCTGGTACTGCAGGCCATCAGCGAAGGTAAATGACCCCTTGTAAGGAAGCACCATTTTAAAATCAAGTTTTTTTAAATGGGGAAAGTGATTATATCCCAAACTTTTGTTATATTCACATCTTTAAACATACACATACAATACAGTTGTATTTGCGCTCCTCAAAGCAGTGAAAGAGCTACATTTGAAAACGTTAAAAGCAGAAACAATGCTGATATGCAAGATAATCCACAGACCTCACTGCTGGCAGTCTTCCTGCGGGTTATTTCTTTGACAGAAAGTAGTTCCAGTTGAAACTTTTGAAAGTAAGGTCTGGGTGTAATTCTATGTAACCCATGGTTTCTGGAGAGATAAATGGCTGTTGTGGTTTTCAAATGTTACTTTTCAGTGCTTTAAACCCCACAAAACAATTTAAAATGTCTTCCATTGTCATCTTTAGGTCAAGGCAGGAATCTAAGGGATGGATATCTCAAAACCTCAGCAGATAAAACCAGAACTGTCTGCATTGATGTATACCACGAGTGAAAAGTGGAAAAATATGTCTTTGGCAGGAACTGATCAACTTTGTGTACAGTATGTGTGCATGTCCTTCTGAGAAAAAACTGTTATTGGGAATGGAAAAATAGCAGTTTTCTGCCAAATGTGGAACCATAATAACACTTTAATGTAAAGAAATGCATTAATTCTGATTTGCTGAGCCTCTGGAGGTATAGGGGTCATCCATCAACTTTGATCCTCGACCCCCTGCTGTTCATATGTTGAAGTTTTCCTCCCGATTATTCAACCATTGATGTGTGAGTGTGAATTCTGGCTTGTTCCTGTTTTCATGTCAATATGTCTAAAATAAAGAAGGCTGAAGAACAACTTTGAAGGATGTGTACGTTTCAGAGTAAGCTACACTTTAAGACTTCAGATATAATTTCCAGATTTTAAATTCTTTAGGTCATAGGATAGTTTAGGTCTGTTTTAAATGGAAGTAGAATGTCATGGGCTGGCATGGATGCAGGTGCAGGGTAGTCTGGGCCATGTTCAGTCATGGTTCAGACCAGCTATCATTTCAAATGAACCACAACTGAAATGATGATAATAATTGGAGTGATCGCTGTTGTGGCAAAAGCCCATGAAAGATTGCATCAGAGCAGAAGAGAGGGTTGCTCGATGCAGGTAAAAAGAGGAAAGAAACCTAATAACTATGACAGTAATGGTGAGTGATTGCTAAAAGGGACCAGATGTAATATCAACTATAACCAATGTGAAACACACACTCATGTGGATGCAGTGATATTCTGACATGCATGCAGGGACACATGAACCCGGCTCCCCACCTGTTTAGCTATGCCGTTTTCCCAGGTGGCCTCATATTTACTCCCATTTGGAAAGTGTAGAACTCCTTTGCCATGGAACATCCCTTCTTTCATCTCTCCCTCATACTTGGTCTCTGTTGGAAATGTGTACTCTCCTTTTCCATCCATCCTGAGGGAGAGAAGAGATGATCATACAGTGCTTTTGCTTGTTAGGAAGCATAGCTAACCTGACTCAACGTTCTAAGCTAATTCTAAATGTTGTGCATATCATTCATATCCTGTTGTCTTTAGGGTAGGGACAAATATATTTACCTGCCATTTTTTGTGTCTCCTTTGTAACTGCTTCCGATGAACTCCATTAAAACCTTGGCTTTCTAACACCCTTTCTTCTAAAAATAAATACAACAGAAGACTTATATCGTCAAGTAAGTAGGCAAGACTACACACAACAGCGAAGTGTATCATTACCATGGCGACAATGTGACAAGAACAACAACGAGTCTACAAAAAGAGGAGTGGTTCGTTTGTCACAATTTTATTATTTTAAACAGTTCGAAACAGACCTTAATAAAACAATTCATAAGTTGATACGATTGAAATTTGTATTTTTTTATTTTTTCCTCTGTATTTTTAAAAGCGCTTTCGACTACGTCATCAACACGCGCCTCCCGGCTGAGCAGGCGCAGTAAACTGACCTTCTCCGCGGCCTCGTAGCTCGTCCTGGAGCCCGAGGAACAGGACCTTGAATGTTTTTCATTTGATTTTCTGCGGTTGTTTTATTAAACAGAGACACAGCCATGCCCACAACGCTGGAAGTCCCCTCCTTGCAGGAGCTGAAAGTGGACGAGGTGAGCAGCGGTTATTGTTTCCCTTGAATGGAAACTTTAGCAGGATATAACATGTTAGCTAACTAGCTTGCTATCGCTAGCTGCTGTATGTTTCAAAATATGCTCAGTAGCTTTTAACTATTGCCACTGGTGTTACCACGTTTCCCAATGCTTACAAAGCCTGATAATAGATCAACCAGCAGATATTTTTTGAATGCATCTAAAACCTGGCGAATGTTCCGCTATCTTTATGATGTTAGAGAAACCAAACTATTCAGGCACTCATGGGCTCTTTATCGTTGTTAACCTTGTATCACACTCTTAATAATCCGTATTACTGCTTCAATGTACCCCTAAGGTGACAGTAACTCTACATTGACTGCCCCTAAACTCATATCTAGCCTGTTTGATGTGCAGTAGTGTTAGTTGGCACATTGAGTTGTCCTTGGAAGTCAGGTGTAAGCTGGCAGCAGCTTGCGTCTTTCCAACATCATGGAATATGGCAGAATCATGGATCTAATAAACTATATATGTGCAGGTACATATTTCTTTTAAATTCAGTAGTAACTCAAAACAATCTGCTTAATAAACCTACCGTAAAAGGACATTAACATGCAATTCACAATAACCATTAAAGAGCCAAGAGAATAGACATATAAAACAAGTGACAGTATAATAAGACGGTAATAAGTAGAAGAACAAAGGTTAGTGTACAGTGTTAAAATACAGCAGACATATTTAATATAATAAGTGGCAGTGTCAAACAAAAGTCTTAAGCCTTAACACTGAGGGTTGCAGCAGAACTACAGGTCTTCATAGAGTTTATACACTTTTTAAATAAACACATTTAGTTATACAGTTGTTTACAATGTATAGACTGAATATGACATGTTTGGAGTTGGAGAGTGCACTTTTCACTGTTAGAGCTAGCCCATAAGTTTCAAGCTGCTCCCACTTGATCCCAACTGATAGCTACTGTATTGATCCGTAAAAAAACGATTAAGCACTTTCTCTTGGATCTTAAATATGAGGTCACCAATATCAGCCACTGTCAGGAAAGCAACAGAATAATCCCGTGTCTTGAAACAAATCTAAAAGTTTGGTTGCATTTATTTACTCTGTGGTCATTATATCTAATTTGAAGCAGTCTCATTGTTGTTTTTCATGCTTCTGTCCCTGGTTGTGTCCAGATCAACGTTTCCTCTGCAGTGCTGAAGGCTGCTGCCCACCATTATGGCTCCCAGTGTGACAAACCCAACAAGGAGTTCATGCTCTGCCGCTGGGAGGAGAAGGACCCCAGGAAGTGTCTAGAAGAAGGGAGGAAAGTCAACGAGTGTGCGCTCAACTTCTTCAGGTAACTCACCCCAAGATTTTTTGCTCCAAATACTTCTGGTATACATAGATCAGTCTGAAAACGTCTTTTTTCTGGAAGGTTTTTTTCTGGCGCTACAGTACAAAAATGTAGTTAATCAGACATTTAGGTAACTAATGATTAGGCATAGCCGGCAGCAATGGTGTCATCTGCAAAACTTTAAAGCCAGCGACAGATTGGAGATGTGACTGAACTTTGGAGCAAGTTGGAGGGTTAAAAGCTTGAGACATTTCAGAAAATGTTGGTGAGAACTAAGTTCAAGTGCACCATATGGGATGAGATTGTGCAGTTAAGATTTAAAATAACTTAATTTTGGCCCCTCCAAACTAAGGACTGAGGTTTGTAACACATTATTCCTCCATCAATTCCAATGCACTGTTTGACTGAGCGCGCTGAACGTTAAATATTTTATGGCAAACTTTTATTGTATGAGGGGATAGCCGATCTACTTGCACTTTCTATGTAGAGTTAATGCGTCAGGTGATGATAACATATTTTTTATAAAGAAGAATTTCCCACAACAGATTTTTTTTATCAAACTTTAAATAACTTTGCTTTCTCTGGGAACTGTCCCGGCGTCTTAAAAGTTATTTTCCATTCTGTTTCATGTCATAGTATTAATCTTACAGCTGAGAGTTTTTGGGTCATTTCATTACTTTATCAAGTCAGTATTCATTCCAAAAAAAGTTTTTCCTGCATTTCTTGGCAAGTGAATAAGAGCCAGTCTCTGCATAAACACTTTGTTATCTTGAGATAGATAAATAAATAGTGGTGACTTAAGTATGATGTAGAGAACACCTTTATGAAATGTCTCTGTGCTATTTGAGTACAGAGTTTATTATGTCTGTGAAACAGCCCTTGGGGGCTATTTGGGGAAGTGGTCTGGGTTTTTTCACTCTAAACTGCTGTGTCTGTGTTTACTGAAAGTTTTAGACTGAGCGTTGGTTATACCCTGATGCCCGTACACCCACTGAGGTGCTTGTGTGTCTGTGTTTCTGGTTCTCAAAAACACATGACCTCTAATTGTAAAGCCGAAACAAACAACCGACACTCTGACCTCAAAGATAAACTGAGACGTTACTGTGAAAGAGCAATACCTGTAATTATTATAATGAGGAAAGATTTGAGAAAAGCTGTAATTGCATCTGGGACCTGGTTTAATTCTTGGGTGCTTCTGGAAACTGCCAGACACCTTTTCTAGGAGTTCAGTCAGACGACCTGTTTGTGTAGGTTTTGAATCTGAACAGCTAAGGCTCATAGGAGGAACTATAATTTACTTTGAAAACTGTCATATCAATCATTATTCTTTAATTACCTTTGGTGAGTCACAATATCTCTTTAAACACAACATGAGTTTCTCTTTTGAAGCTTCCAGTTCATGCATTACAACCAAGTTTTCTGGACTACTTTTGCATATCTCATCTTGCTTCATTCTTTCTTCTAGGCAAATCAAGGGAAACTGCGCAGAGTCCTTCACGGAGTACTGGACCTGTCTGGATTTTTCAAATTTGACAGAACTGCGCCGTTGCCGTGATAAACAGCAAACCTTCGACAGCTGCACCCTTGAGAAGCTAGGCTGGCAGAGACCTGAGCTGGGAGAGCTGTCTAAGGTGAGACTTGTGAGGGATTGACTGCACAGTGTGAGCAGCATGGGTGATGGACTCCATTTTGGCTGATTACGGGTTATGCAAGAGGCTCTGATTGCATCTGCGTAGTGGTCTTATTCTGCTGCCGTTTGGAGCAAATCATGCATTTTACACTGCATTGGTTTTTGTTACCTTTTTGAGGGTCTTGCGTAACACGCTGGCAAAGCACTAATTAGGTAGCAGCAATCCAAATAAAACTAAAGGCCGATCTTAACAATAGATTTTCGGATATTTTGACATTTGAACCAGAGTGGGAATCTGTGAAAGGCTGTGATCAACCGTCTGGCCATTTTTCCCTTCCCAAGGCAGAGCACAAAACAACAGAAATCCAACTTTTGCTTTTTTAATGGCTCAGTTTCTCTGGCTGTTCAGCCATCTAACAAATGAAAAGAAAGAGTAGACAAAATGTGGAAGGTGGTTGAAGGAGAGATGGTCCTTCAGGTTGTGAGTTATCGAGTCAGGAAAAGAGGCAGAGCGTTAAGGAAAGACAGTCCTGACCCAGAAGTCATAAAAAATGTGCTAAGAGGGGCAAAGCAGCGGAAAGGATGAGGTAGTTAACAATGAAACAAGAGGATGTCATCATGATTTGAGATTGAGGTAAGAGGAGAACTGAGGAGATGGACAGGCTTTCAGTTTTTCGATTTGATAATCTATTGTTTTTTAATCCCTGATGAAACAATGAAAATGTTATTTTTGCTTATTATTTTACTTAATCATTAAATCACACAAGTAATTATAATTTAGACTCTAGTCAATGTCTAGTCAGATACAACAGATACAGTGGGGCAAAAAAGTATTTAGTCAGCCACCAATTGTGCAAGTTCTCCCACTTAAAAAGATGAGAGGCCTGTAATTTTCATCCTAGGTATACCTCAACCATGAGAGACAAAATGAGAAAAACAAAAATTTAGAAAAGCTCATTGTCTGATTTTTAAAGAATTTATTTGCAAATTATGGTGGAAAATAAGTATTTGGTCACCTACAAACAAACAAGATTTCTGGCTCTCACAGACCTGTAACTTCTTCTTTAAGAGCCTCCTCTGTCCTCCACTATGGCCAAGACCAAAGAGCTGTCAAAGGACACCAGAAACAAAATTGTAGACCTGCACCAGGCTGGGAAGACTGAATCTGCAATAGGTAAGCAGCTTGGTGTGAAGAAATCAACTGTGGGAGCAATTATTAGAAAATGGAAGACATACAAGACCACTGATAATCTCCCTCAATCTGGGGCTCCACGCAAGATCTCACCCCGTGGGGTCAAAATTATCACAAGAACGGTGAGCAAAAATCCCAGAACCACACGGGGGGACCTAGTCAATGACCTGCAGAGAGCTGGGACCAAAGTAACAAAGGCTACCATCAGTAACACACTACGCCGCCAGGGACTCAAATCCTGCAGTGCCAGACGTGTCCCCCTGCTTAAGCCAGTACATGTCCAGGCCC